TATATATATATATATATATATACACTGTCAGTCTAAAGTTTTTTTATATTAGCAATCAATTATATCTTTTAATTGTGTCATGTCACTGTTAAAAGTAAATGTGTTTACAGTAATATGACACTATTAAAAGATATAATTAGTTGTCAGTGTAAAAAAATTTTTACACTAACAATATATAGATGATTAACTATATATATATATATATATATTAATTGAAAAGTTTGTTATTTATTTAAAAATTATAGAAAAAATTAGTTTAACTTTTTTAATTCAAAATAAAAATGACATTATAATGAATATATTAATCGAATTTTATAAAAAAATAATATTATTTCTAAAATAATATTTTGATGAAAGTGACTGTGATAAAATGCATATTATTTAAAAGATTAATATATTTTTTTTTATTAAAAATGTTTTGTTTTTTTATTGTTTCATGCATATATTAGATCATTTTATTTTCTTATATTCATGGCATGTTTTAACAAATTTTAAAATAAAAAATGAAATGAATTTTTTTTATATCAATTTCAACAGTAATGAACACATATAAAGTGAGTATTCAATATAATCTATTTTATATACATGATATTTTCATTTTAGTTAAGAAATACAAGTGTGTCAATTAATGTTAATTAATAAACATTAATTTGATATTAATAATATTAACTCGTTTTCTAAATTAAAAATATTAGAAAAAATTATAACAAAAGAAAGTAATGTCTTATTAAAAATATTAAACTATATTAAAAAATTATATCCATGTAATGTTTGTGAAATAATTTAAAATACTTGTAATCATTGTCACTGCAAAAAAACTTTCTTAAAATTATTCTTTTTAAATTCAATTGATATAAACTAAATATGTTACGAGTAATAATAAAATAAATTATTATTAATTAAGATTTTAAAATTATTTAATTATTAAAATTTAATTAAAAATGTTCAATTCAAAAAATTAAAAAAATTAAATAAATATAATAAAATATATTAAAACATAACTTATAAAATTTGTCTTTAAGATCCTAAATTTTCTTAACACAACCCTACTTTTATGATAAGCATAATCGTGTAGTTAGACATATATACTTACAAATCACTAAGATTAGCCTAGTAGTTAAGTAGGGAGAGGTTAGGGTAGTTAGAAGCATGAGGATCTAAGTTCAATCTTTATTGCGACCATCTTTATAATCTTTTCTATCTTTATAAAAAAAAAAAAAAGACATATACACTTACATATCATAACATTATCTATTTAGTTTATTCAAGTCCAAAAAAAAAAATTGGACTAACAATAATATAATTATGAGTGGAATTAATATATGACATAGTAAATTAAATTGTCGGAAATTCTCTTAACATGTTAAAAAATATTATCCTTAAAATCATAATTATCAATTACTTAGGTAATTTTTTGAAAAAAATTAATACTTAGTAACTTACGCATTATGAGTTTAAATAGTGGTTAAACTTAGGATGGCATTAGGTAGGCCTATAAAATTATTATTTCATTTTTATCTCTTCGGGATATATTTGTATTTTTCTCGTATCTGCTTGAAATTATTTAAATATTATATATATAGAATGATAATTATAAAATTATATTAATTAAATTTTATTTAACATAATTTTAAATTAAAGTAAGAATTAAATAAATCTCAAATAAATTCTAAAAATATAAATTAAGTTTTTAAAATTTTAAAATAAGAATAGAGATAGAAACAAGCATGGATGGATAAGTATATTTATCTCCATCCTAACATCTTATTTAATAGAGTAAATATTATCCTTATTTATATTTGATCAAATTAAATATTATTTATAAAAATTAACACGAGACAATACTCGCATTTATGAGTGTATTTTTCATTCTTAATTAAACGAACATTTTTATTTGCCAATTTTTATAGGTATGTTATGGCACGGGATGCTACTGTAACATTTATTATTTTGTATTT